CTATTTGCTATGCATTTTGATAATATTAAATGCACGATAAAGAGGCAGAAATTCAGTTTGGTAAAATCCTTTAAAACCCCTTTTTGGTAGCTTGGAAAACACTGCCTGTTGGCAGATGCTCATGAGGGATTCAGGAGCCCTCAAGGAAGTTGTCCAAAAATGATTCTAAAACTCAGCAGACAACCTCTCAATCCCAGGTGAACATCCCAACGAGATCTGCTTAGTTGCATCTGTAAGCTCCTGAAAGCTTATGTCACAATCTAAAGTCCCTCTCTTTTCAGGTTCTTACTGTGGAAGGGAGGTAGGTCTCTAATACCTGCAGAAAGCCAAAGCATTCACATTAATCTCAATGGCAGTTGCTTGGCTGCCGTCAGACGTCCCTGGAGTACGATTTGATATCTGCCATATTATAGGCCCCGAGCAATAAAATCCAAACAACTATATTTAACTTTATTGTTAAATAAATTAATTCCAAACAACCATATAAGTCCCTGTAAAGTCAAAATTAAGTATGTGTTCTTAGTTTGTCACACCACATAAAAATGTGTTTTTAGCCACCAAGCCAAATTTGAATGATAAAAAAAGCTGCCAAGTAAATAAAATAAGCTATCAAAATCTTGAAAAAATTAGCAGTATTCTCTGCTCTCAAACGGTGTGGGCGTGTCCACTGGCTGCGCTGAAACCACGCCCACTCACGGGACGGGAGGATGAAGGCCGAGGCGGGAGATAGTCGGTTCGGCCCCATTCCCTAGTAACAGCGGATTATCAGTGAATCCCAGTTGTCTCCGACGAAAGTTTATAAAACTATCCTGTGTAAAATTATCACTATAGAGGCGGGTGTTGGTGGTGATCCTCAGGTCTCCATCAAGGTGGCTCTTCATAAAATTAATCCATTGAACCGATTGAGCGGCGAACTGATGCGAATGTGCTCAAGTTATATTGTTAGGGGGGGGGGGGGCAACCTCAGTGGCTCCAGTGCGTCATCGACAGTAGGGGAGGGGCCAGGAGCTCAGTTGCTCCAGTGCGTCATCGAGCCACCGTTTTAGCCCCGCTCAAAAAATCCTGAACACAGCAACGGTGCAAACCTGTTTAACGGTCTAACTCCACAATTCAGTACTTCACAGGTCACAGTCTTTGTAATATGTTTAGCAATAAATTTCTAACATTTATAATGTGTTCAGATTTTTTTTTTAATTGCCTTTACATGGTCTTTAACTTTATTCAACTTTTAAATGGCCATCAATGGAGAAATACGCTTTTTTAATCCAGATGTTTCAGCATTAACCAGCAGTAACAGGGCCATGCTAAAGAGCTAAACTTTGACCTTTTTGTGGAAGGTCCTGTAACAGATATGCAGCACTCACAATACACAGTCCAATTCGGGATAAAAGTCCACTGTCAGCCTTCTCATTTCTTCTAAATTATAAATGTTTCATTGGGGCCCTGCAAATGAAGCACATTTATGCTGAATAATTTTTTCCCATTTAAAGAAAGAATCACTATGAGCCACCATTTCTTTCTTATATTCAAAGTGCCTATTAACTGAATTTATTCTTGACTTTATTAAAGCACATTTAACTTTTCATGCAATAACTGCTCCAACATTTCTGTACTGAGTTCAGAAGGTCCATTGTCTCAATTTAACTTTGCAACTTTTGAACTGTTGACTTTATGATATTTGAAAAACACAGTCTTGACATAAAATTCTAATGTGCATCTTTCCAACCTCTCACCATTGATTTTCACAGCAGTTTGTGACCTGCACTCTTCCCACAAACAAGTAAACTACTCACAAAAAAAGAAAAAGAAAAAAAATGTAATTTCCATATTAAAATATTACAGATTCTTCCCAACGGTTGCCATGTTTTCCAAAAATGTTTTGAAAAACAGTAAAGTAGCATGAGCCATTAAACACCTTATAGTACTACACTATTTTAAAATCCTCTATACGGTTCCATTCAGCAGCTATAACTACACAGATGTTGCCATTACATTGCAAAGATTATACAGTCCCACCTCCGCCTTAACCTATAGTACAGTCAGTGTCAACCTTTTATAGTGTTAAAACGTCTCGGTTACGTATGTAACCCTAGTTCCCTGATAGGGAACGAGACGCTGTGTCAAACGCTGTGGGAACGCCCCTGCGTTGTGCGTCATGAAGCATGTATGGAATCAGCCCAATGGAGAGACGGAACGTCATAGGCGGGTGATGTCATCGGCCAGGAAACTATAAAGCACCCCAAAAACACAAGCGCATCAGCTTCTGATAGGCCTGAAGGAAGCGCTAACGGGAGTGCCGGGAGCATGGCAGAACGACGCAGCGTCTCGTTACCTATCAGGGAACTAGGGTTACATACGTAACCGAGACGTTCCCTTTCAAGGGAACTTCGAGCTGCGTCAAACGCTGTGGGAACGCGAATACCCACGTCGCCATAGGAGCAAGTGACCGTCATGTGAGATCTAGCGCACAGCGGACGAGAGCACCTGCACCCCAGGGGTAGAGCTTACGTCTAAATCATAGAACTTAATAAACGTATGCGGTGAAGACCATCCAGTCGCATCACAAACCTCACTCAGGGAAACTCCTGACAATAAAGCTTTGGATGCAGCCATACTCCTAGTAGAGCGGGCTCGTACAGCCAAAGGTGAAGGCAGAAGCAAGTGAGATAGCCTCGACCACCCACTTGCTCATTCTCTATTTAGACGCAGGACACCCTTTCCTGGGTGGCCCGAAACATACAAATAAATGTTCTGATTTCCTCCACAGGGCAGCTCTGTGGACATAAGCGTCTAACGCCCTCACTGGGCAGAGCCAATTAAGTTTCTCCTGGTCTGACGACAGAAATGGAGGAGGACAGAAAGCCTGCAGAACTGTAGGTCTAACAACATTAGTAGGGACCTTAGGAACATAACCTGGCCTAGGGTATAGAAAAGCCTTGACCATACCAGGCGAAAATTCCAGGCACGAACTGCTGGCCTCATTCTCAAAGTGCCACGAAGGAAACGAGTTATAAGCTGGTGTCTCCCAAGAGAAACTCCACTGAAAGGGACGTGGTAAGCAGCCAGTGTCGCCACATACACCTTTAGTGTGGAGGGGGATAACCCTGTGGAGAAACGCTCCTGCAGGAATTCCAGCACTGCACCCACTGGGCAGTTTACTGGGTCCGACAGGTGTTCTCCACACCAAGAAGTGAAAAGTTTTCACTTCAAAGGCATATAGCTTCCTCGTGGATGGAGCTCTGGAGTGAAGGATGGTCTCAACAACCTCGGTTGAGAGACCGGAATCTAAGAGCTGGGCCCCCTCAGAGGCCAAGCCCACAGTTTCCATAACTCTGGGCGGGGGTGAAATATCATGCCGCCCGCCTGAGAGAGTAGATCCCTCCTGACCGGGAGCTCCAAAGGAGAGCCGTCCAGGAGAGAAACCAGGTCCGCAAACCATACTCGGGCCGGCCAGAACGGGGCTACTAACAGTAGGCTGACCCCGTCCCGGCGAACCCTCTCCAGAACTCCTGGTAGCAGAACAATCGGGGGAAAAGCGTACAGACGTGACCTCGGCCACGGCTGCACCATAGTGTCCAACCCCAGAGGGGATGGATGACTGATGGAGAACCACAGACGACAGTGCGATATCTCCTTGGAAGCGAATAGGTCCGCCTCGGCGCGACCGAAACTCAACCAAAGGAGCTCCACCACCTCGGGGGTGGAGTCTCCATTCCCCCAGCCTCGGCCCCTGCCTCGACAGGGAGTCTGCTACCACATTCAAATACCCAGGAAGATACATTGCTCTCAGTGATAGTAACTTCCCTAGGGACCACAGGAGGACCTGACGGGCCAACTTGTAAAGCCGGCGAGACCGCAGGCCCCCCTGACGATTTATATAAGAGACCACCGACGTGTTGTCTGACTGAACTAGCACATGATGACCTCTCAGGTCTGCTAGGAAGTGTTTCAGAGCCTGAAACACTGCCAACATCTCTAGACAATTTATATGCCATGATAGATGATGGTCCTGCCACAGACCTTGGGCTGGACGACCACTCATGACCGCCCCCCACCCTGTGAGGGAAGCATCCGTCGTTAGCTTTATGCGACGACAAAGAGCCCCCAGCACAGGATCTTTGGATAGGAACCAAGTTTCTTTCCACAAGACCAGAGCACGAAGGCAGCGCCGCGTGACTTTGATCGTGCGGAGTGGATTTCCCCTCGGGAAGAATCCCTTGGTCCTGAGCCACCACCGGAGCGGTCTCATGTACAACAGGCCAAGGTATAACGTTGGACACTGCTGCCATCAAACCCAACAGTTTCTGAAACTGCTTTACAGTGAGTAGCTGGCCTAGCTTTACTGTTTCAAAGCTGAAGAATCGAAGCGATGCGGGTGACCTAATCCCAAACAACGCCCAGAAAAGTGGTCTCCAGAGAAGGAGATAAACACTTTTCTTCGCGTTCAGCCTCAACCCCAACTTCCTGATATGCGCGAGGACGACATCTCGATGTCGAACCGCCATCTGCTCCGTAAAGTACGGGGAGATAGATAGACCGAACGGAAGAACCCTATATTGGAATGCCTCGCCCCTGTAGGCAAACCTCAGGAACTTCCTGTGTTGTGGAAGTATGGAAATGTGGAAGTAAGCGTCCTTTAGATATATCGTGACAAACCAGCCCTCGGACCTGATTTGTGACACGACCTGCTTGATAGTGAGCATCTTGAATTGAGCTTCCCTACCGAGCGATTTTATAGGCGCAAATCTAAAAATTGGACGCAACCCCCCATCCTTCTTTGGAACGATGAAATATCAGCTGTAATAACCTAGCTCCAAACTGGGAGGAGGAACCCGTTCTATAGCCCCCTTTTGAAGGAGCGTTTTCACCTCTTGTTCCATTACCAGAGCCTGCTCGGGGCCCACACTATGGGCAGAACCCCTCTGAGTTTCGGTGGACGACACCTAAATTGGATCGAATAACCTCTTACTACTGTCTGCAGGACCCACTGAGATATTCTTGGCAGGCTTTTCCACTCTGCCAAACAAATTCTACTAAGGGTACCAGTCTCTCGAGACTGGTCTCTGGTGTAATTTGAGTAGCAAACACAGCGCCCTGTAACGGCGCACCGGCAGGGAACTACTGGTTTGACCGCTCTGAGACCCTCCTCAGAGGGAGCGAGCGTCCCTCGGGAAAGCACTCGCTGGGACCGTCTACGCCCCGGCATGAAGGCGGGGTTGGCAGAACGGGCCCCTGAGGGCACCGAGAAAGAATGGGCACCGTAAAAAGAGGTGAACACCTTTATCCCTCGATGGGGACCACCCTCAGTGTCAGAGGAGGCGAGCGTCCCTCGGGAAAGCGCTCGCCGGGACCGTCTGCGCCCCGGCATGAAGGCGGGGTTGGCAGAACGGGCCCCTGAGGGCACCGAGGAAGAATGGGCACCGTAAAAAGAGGTGAACACCTTTCTCCCTCGATGGGGACCACCCTCAGTGTCAGAGGAGGCGAGCGTCCCTCGGGAAAGCGCTCGCCGAGACCGTCTGCGCCCCGGCATGAAGGCAGGGTTGGCAGAACGGGCCCCTAAGGGCACCGAGAAAGAATGGGCACCGTAAAAAGAGGTGAACACCTTTCTCCCTCGGTGGGGACCGCCCTCAGCATAGCCAATATAACTGTCCTCAAAACAGTTCTATTGCTTTTTTTATTTTTTATTATATTATATTTATTTTTCAAAAAGCTTTGGCTGAGAGTGCCGCGTCTGGTCCCACTGTCCAGCAAGGGGAGCGCGAGACGCGATACTCTGCTTTGTTGCACCTATGCGATGAGCTCGTGGACTCAGTCCACGACCAGCAGCCCCGTGGACATGAACTTTTAATGGAAGAAATCTTTTAAAAGCTGCTGCCTGCTTCTTTTCTTCCTGAAATTATCAATGACAGTATTAACTAAGTCACTGAATAACCCCGCAGGGGAGAGAGGATCATCTAAAAGAAAGCTTTCTCTTTCTGTTTCATGTTGGAAAAAATCATTTTACCATAAATCGGCAGCCTGACGCAGTTCTCGAACCACGTCAGTACTGCCTCCTCACTCATGCTCACGTCCTTTAGCAAATCAGCCTGGTATGCCTGCAATATAGACATTGTATGCAGACACGACGCAGCCTGACCTCCCGCCAAATACACTTTACAAAGCCGAAATATTTCATAATGGCTTGGAAGATAATGCCGGTGCTTTAAATGACAATGCAGCCTCGGAAGAGAGATAGCTCGCAAGCGTCTCTTCTACCCGCGGCAAAGCGCCGTCTTTTCTTTTCAAAAACCTAGCCCCCGCTAAATCTGAATATGTGAATGATTGGGGGCTAAAATTATATCAGAAGCCGGCTTCTTCCATAATCTCGACACCTCAGTATGGAGATCATGAAAAAACGGCAAGCACCGGCATGGAGGTTGCACACGGGAAGGGAGAAATCTTTCATCTAACTTAGATTTAATAACAGACTCCTGCCTAGCCACTGGCCACTCAATGCTTAGTTTTGATACAGCTCGAGTGAGAACCTCCATGAGCTCTTCGCTTTCGGGAGTGTTAGGTGGCGAGTCCTCCACATCTCCCTCGTCAATACTGCTATTTTTATCTCCTAGTTTTTATAACTAACGTTAGATAGTTGCAGTACTGGTGCCTGAGCCCGGGCGGAAGAAACCGCAGAGCGTGCTTCCAAACCGGGCTGAGACACTGGATCTAACAGGTGAAGGCAGAGATAAGGCAGAGCCCGTCTCTAACCCCGCTGAAAGATCCATTTGCGATCCCCACGATAAGCGTCGCCGCTCAGCCTCGGCAGAAGCGGGACTCGAACCGCGGGGAGCGCGCACCGAGCACTCTCCTCAAAGACCGCCCGGCGGGAGCGGAGCGTCCATAAAGGCAGACGCTCGCAATGCTCGCAGCCAGCCCCCTCGAGAACTGACTGGGCATACACTCCCAAACAAACAACACAAAGAACGTGTGTATCCCCGCCCGTTAGATAGCGCAAGCAGGGAGGAACACACTTCTTAAATGCCGTTCGCTCGCCATAGTCTCTCATACAAAAATTTTTGTGTGGTGTAAATGTGATAACTCCTGCCTAGCAAATACTAAAGACAGACACAGTGTTTACACTCAGACAGATTCACACAGAGCCGGCCCTAGACCTTTGGGGGCCCTAAGCAAAATTTGGTTTGAGGCCCCTTTGACCGTTTTAAGGCCTAAAGAAAAGCAATGACTACCTTATAACTATACCATACTATATAACTCAGATGTCTAACAGGAAAATTGTGATACCACTGAGCTGAATGGCAGTGCAAGACACACACACACACACACACACACACACACACACTGATTAACTTGCTGAATAAAAAGACAGATAAAGTGATTATCACTGAGCAAAGATACATTTTTATTGACACCAGAGTTTAAGAGTCACAAACTACAGCACATATATACGTACACTACCGTTCAAAAGTTTGGGGTCAGTGAGAATTTTATTTTTATTTTTTGGAGGAAAGAAATCAATACTTTTATTTATCAAGGAATAATTAATTTGATCGAAAGTGACAGTAAAGACATTTATAATGTTACAAAAGATTCTAACCCTAACCCTATTCATCAAAGAATCCTAAAAAAAAAAACTAAAAAAAAACTGTACAACTGACAGACCCAGGGCCGGCGCTAGCCATTTGGGTGCCCTAAGCACAAATGCTTGGTGGTGCCCCCCCACCCCACTCACCCCCTCACCCACCCAAGGAATAACAACCATTCAGAATTTCTTAGTCTGATGAAGCACAATATAATAATTCTGTACATAATTTGTAGGGCTGGGAAAAGATTAATCGCGATTAATCGCATCCAAAATAAAAGTTTGTGTCTACATGAATGATATATGTGTGCGTGTACTGTGTATAATTATTTTGTATATACACTACCGTTCAAAAGTTTGGGGTCGGTACGATTTTAAATACTTTTAAAAGAATTATCTTCTGCTAACCATGGCTGCGCTTATTTGATTAAAAATACAACAAAAATCAGTTATAGTATTAAATATTATTCCAGTGTAAATCAGCTGTTTTCTGTGTGAATATATAGTAAAGTGTAATTTATTCCTGTGATCAAAGCTGAATTTTCAGCATCACCAGTGTCAGTGTCTTCAGTGTCAAATGATCCTTCACAAATCAGTATAATATGAGGATTTGATGCTCAAGAAACATTTATTATTATTATCAGTAAAGTTGTAACAGTTGTTGGTCTGTCAGTTGTACAGTTTTTTTTTTTTTTAGGATTCTTTGATGAATAGGAAGTTCAAAAGACTTTTGTAACATTATAAATGTCTTTACTGTCACTTTCAATCAAATTAACTATTCCTTGATAAATAAAAGTATTGATTTCTTTCCTCCAAAAAATAAAAATAAAATTCTCACTGACCCCAAACTTTTGAACGGTAGTGTATATAAATACACATTTGCATGTATGTATTTAAGAAATATTTGTTATTTATATATAAAATATTTAAATTTATATATAATATAAATTATATATAAATATATACAGTATATACATGCAAATATTTCTTAAATATATACGTGCATATGTGTGTGTATTTATATATACAAAATAATTATACACAGTATACACACATATCATGTAGACACAAACTTTTATTTTGTATGCGATTAATCTTTTCCCAGCCCTAATAATTTGACAACTCTGTGAATATGAAAATATACAAACACTGAGATTGTGGGTTTTTTTTTTTTTTCTAATTGCAGTTTCACCAACAGATGTCGCCCTTGAGGGAGCACCAGAGGGAGACGAAAAATGAGATTCACCTTTTTCTCGACTAATTTGGTCTAGGCCTATATTACTTTTGTATTGCTTTTGTATATTAACATGCTTTAGACATATTTTATTTGTTATTTATACTAGTAGCCTATTGTGATGATTTTTCACGACCCAGATTTTTTGGTGCCCCCCCAAGCACTTGGTGCCCTACGCGCGCGTGATGTGCGTGTGCGGAGCGCCGGCCCTGGACCAACAACTGTTTCAACATTGATAATAATAATAAATGTTTCTTGAGCATCAAATCCTCATATTATACTGATTTGTGAAGGATCATTTGACACTGAAGACACTGACACTGGTGATGCTGAAAATTCAGCTTTGATCACAGGAATAAATTACACTTTACTATATATTCACACAGAAAACTGCTGATTTACACTGGAATAATATTTAATACTATAACTGATTTTTGTTGTATTTTTAATCAAATAAGCGCAGCCATGGTTAGCAGAAGAGAATTCTTTTAAAAGTATTTAAAATCGTACCGACCCCAAACTTTTGAACGGTAGTGTATATATATAAAATTTTAATTAAATAGAGCAAATAGAATAACATTTAAATATAATATTATATAAAATAATAAATAGATTTTTCAAATAAACAAAATTAACAATAACATCTAAAAATCTAAAATCTAGTGCTCCTAAGGGGACATAAGGAGTAAACTAATGTTAGCCCTTTAGTGTAGAATCCAAACTGGGTCAGAGGTGGGTAGAGTATCCAAAAACTGTACTCAAGTAAAAGTACAAGTACTTATAGAAATATTTACTCAAAGTAAAAGTAAAAGTAATAATCTTAAAAGTTACTTGAGTAAGAGTAAAAAAGTATCCAATGAAAAAACTACTCAAGTAGTTAGTTACTAGTTACTTTGGATCACATAGGCCTATATATATATATATATATATATAACATGACATTATTTAGATATTTTTTTATTTTAATGACTAAAATGATCATAATTAGATAAGCCATCTTTGCAACAAAAACAGAAGAGACAAACATTATTTCTGTATATTATATCTATAGCCCGAAAACCATTGCCTGTCCTTTGGTTTGTATAATAGTATAATAACTTATACAACTACATTTGGATTATTAGACAATGTCGGAATAAAGTGACTCTATGGAGTTTTGCATTCATGTAAAGGGGTGGGAACCATTGACACAGATTAGAAAGTGTTAAAACTCTGCACATGTGCCCGCCGTCATGTCATGCCAAACACAACCAACGATCAAAAATGTACGGATCTTC